TGTGAAACCCCGGTCGGCTGCCGTTTCCCGAATCCGATGGTTCATCTTCGAATCCTTCGACGACAGCTCCTTCCAGCCCTTCAAGCTGCTGGAGGAAATGGACTCCTCGACTCGTTCTAGAGGATCTATGCGAGGAAGATCTTTGCTCGCGTCTCGGTTGCTGTTGGCGTTTTTGGTTTTTACTTCCTTTTCCTCGATGAGATCCAGGGCTGGATGCCCTGGAATCAGGACTTTTGCTCCTGCTGGAAGAGCGACTGTTTCTAGGAAAACCAATCGGCCTCCCTTGTCCATCGGTTGGAACCGAGAAAACTAGACGTCTGCCGCGCGATTGCTGAGACACATTCGGTGGTTGCGAAGTACTAGCTGTGGCGCCAATCGGCTGACCTTTAGCATAGCATTCACTACTAAAATGGCCTGGCTTTCCACACGTCCAACACGTTCTAGCGGGGTTGGCATTATTAGTGCCTTGCTGGTTTTGCTGCTCACGAGCGATTGCAGACATCACTCGAAAGTTTTCATTAGCTCTTCGGCGCGCTTTCAATTTCTCTATATTAGTCGCGTACTCGAGGGCTTGTGCCATAGTGATAGGAACAGCACCAAGTCTATCATAAAGACTTGGCAACATTCCTTGCAAAAACTGGGATACCATAAGCTGATCGATACTCTGTTGTTGAGCATCATACCGAATCAACTCGATTTTAAGGAACGGGTTCGTACAGAGTTTCGGCTCTTGGCCTTCCACTCTTAAAACTTTAATTTTGCTGGGGGCCTATCACGAGCGATTGCAGACATCACTCGAAAGTTTTCGTTAGCTCTTCGGCGCGCTTTCAATTTCTCTATATTAGTCGCGTACTCGAGGGCTTGTGCCATAGTGATAGGAACAGCACCAAGTCTATCATAAAGACTTGGCAACATTCCTTGCAAAAACTGAGAAACCATAAGCTGATCGATACTCTGCTGTTGAGCATCATACCGAATCAACTCGATTTTAAGGAACGGGTTTGTACAGAGTTTCGGCTCTTGGCCTTCCACTCTTAAAACTTTAATTTTGCTGGGGGCCTCGCCAAGCATTTGCTGGCCCACTCTCCTGATCCTAACAGAGAAATCCAGAACTGATTCTAACTCACCTTGATACATTGTCTGAAGTTTCAGCGCGCCTTCTTCCATAAAATTACCTCCGTATGCTAACTCTAATTCCTTGACCATAACGCGGTAGTGTTCTTCTGTTAATCCGTTAACACAACGAAGGAACTCCCTGGCCTTACCAACGACCTTCTGCAGAATAATAGTCCTCATGTTGTCGTCTGAAATATCACAGCCGACAAGGGCTACACGGATATCTTGCCACCAATCAGCCCAATTCTCATTAGCAGCGCCAGAGAAATTTGGCAATTGGTTGACAATGCTATTCGTGATCTGCTTATTTCCCTTGGGAGCATCTTGGCTACCTGTTTTCATATTGAAGAACACTACTTCGTCAGAGCTAGGACGATCTAATTGATCAAGAGTTAATTCCTTCGTTAACAGTTTATTCTTGATCCCCACCATTTCATCTAGTTCGCGTTGCTGTCGGGTGACCTCATCCTTAAGATGGGTGGCAAACAAAGTTAACTGAGCAGTTTCAATTGCTAGGGTGCTCTCGTCCCTAGCCGCTAAGTTAGGCACGAGAGCCTCTACCATTGTATTCCAAGCTCTAATTTGCTCTTCAAGTAATTCAACACTGCGTTCGTTATTGATCAGCATCGCCTCTGGCAGACGGGGTTGTACTTCATTTGCTAAAAGCAATGTATCACATTCTGCCTCTAAAAGACGGACCAACTCACGCAGATATACCACTTGATCCTCAGGGGTTTCACGTAACAGCCTATTTCTATGGGTGGTAGGGGTATCAGTCAAAACAGGCGGAGGGAGCATCGCGTCCGATACACTCACTCAACCGGCTGAGTCACCAACACACTTGTCACCTCCCTAGATTTGGCTTTTCTTTACTTCTTAACTCTTCACGAGGTCTCTTTAAATTTTGGAATGCTGCTCTTAGTTGCACTTCTTTCTTTGTACTTCACTAATTGTATCACTCTGCTTTCCTTGGTCACGCGCGTTGACTCAAGGCAGTTAAAATACACCGCAGAGGAGTAGCAACAATCAAAAATTTGCAGAAACACAACCTAGTCTGTGCACAGATTAGTTTGTTTTACTCGTGGTACACTCACCCCCCACAAAAAGAAGACGGACGGCTGCGCCAATTTCTGTTATCCTATTTCCTGAAGAAATGCAAGAATCGGTGAATCTTAAACAATTGCTTACTATTACGTCTAATGGTAAGTTTGTTACCGACCTCGAATCTTGGAATAACCAATTCTATCCTGGGTTTCAATTGTATCACTCTGCTTTCCTTGGTCACGCGCGTTGACTCAAGGCAGTTAAAATACACCGCAGAGGAGTAGCAGCAATCACAAATTCACAGAAACACAACCTAGTCCGTGCACAGATTAGTTTGTTTTACTCGTGGAACACTCAACCCCCACAAAAAGAAGACGGACGGCTGCGCCAATTTCTGTTATCCTATTTCCTGAAGAAATACAAGAATCGGTGAATCTTAAACAAATGCTTACTATTACGTCTAATGGTAAGTTTGTTACCGACCTCGAATCTTGGAATAACTAATTCTATCCTGGGTTTTTCAATTGTCTTCCGCGTGCTTTGCGGGTAAAAGGATTTTTAACAGTTAAATAAGTAAGCACCAGGATCTCTGCTGAGAGGCAAGCAATATGTATTTCAGTGCACAACAGTCCGCGAGTGAGTCAGGACACGAATGCTGAATAGTATAGGACAGTACACTGAGTTTTAAAGGTGGGCAGCCAACAGGTTAATAACTAATTCTATCCTGGGTTTTTCACAATTGTCTTCCGCGTCCTTTGCGGGCAAAAGGATTTTTAGCAGTTAAATAAGTAAGCACCAGGATCTCTGCTGAGAGGCAAGCAATATGTATTTCGGTGCACAACAGTCCGCGAGTGAGTCAGGACACGAATGCTGAATAGTATAGGACAGTACACTGAGTTTTAAAGGTGGGCAGCCGACAGGTTCGCGACTTGCTGGCTGGCCCCAAAAGAATAGATACACACACACACATATGACCGCGAGAGGACAGCAAGCTAGATAGCTGGCTGGCCGCGAAGCAGGTGCGCGTGACGGGCGTATGCATATCTATATGCATATGAAAAGAGAAAGAAAAAGATCAGGGTGCAACCAAACACGTAGAGAAAATAAGAGTCAGCATATGCTGCTCAAGTCCGCGAGTGAGTCAGGACACGAATGCTGAATAGTATAGGACAGTACACTGAGTTTTAAAGGTGGGCAGCCGACAGGTTCGCGACTTGCTGGCTGGCCCCAAAAGAATAGATACACACACACACACATATGACCGCGAGAGGACAGCAAGCTGGATAGCTGGCTGGCCGCGAAGCAGGTGCGCGTGACGGGCGTATGCATATTTATATGCATATGAAAAGAGAAAGAAAAAGATCAAGGTGCAACCAAACACGTATAGAGAATAAGAGTCAGCATATGCTGCTCGTAAAAATAATTTTGGATCACAAATTCCATGGTGTGACTTGATTCATCTGTAAGGTCTGACCGGTCTGTGCATTGGCGTTCTGTCGCTGTCCGTGTTGTACGAAATCATGCGATACTTCGAGTTGGGCTTTACTGATGGTGCGAGGCTGTGTACCGATGAGCCGAGCAGTGAAGGAAGCACGGACGTTCCTGTGTCTGAACGTCGACCCTTGTTGATTTTAGGGTACTTTCGCCGCATGTCCAAGTGAGTTATGTCGTATTCATCTTATCATGAAAATACACTAATCGCTAGGTTTTATATGAGAATTAATGTTGTAAGAAGAATTTCTGGGAGCAGCCAGGAAACGAGTTGTATATGCCATGGTGTGTGCCTTTCGAAATATCCTGCTTCTCTGTCAAAGACTAGTGCTGGCATCTGATGGTGTAAATTGAGGGTCTTGGAAGAAATTCTGGAAGTGGGCAGGAAATGAGGGTTGGGAGTTGTGAATGTCTTAGTATTTGTTACAGTATCTGAAAATCCATTCTTTTGCTTCCATCTCCCTAAAAAAAAATAGAGAACGGTGGTGGAATCTTGATGAAATTCTTAGCTGATCAAAATTAATTTCATGAATCTTGAATAAGTTTCAGCTATTATTAACTAAAATTATCTGACCGCAGTTGACATTCATAAATCAGAATAATTTTATAATGAACCGACAACGAAAATGTTGATGCTGCGCTTCTTTCTTCATTGTAGGTCCGGAAGACTGCTGCTTAGTGTTGCGCACACGTTTAGGTCAATTTTGGGCTATACTTTGATGCTATGCGCCATGTCTTTCAATAGTTACATTTTTATTACTATGGCGATTGGCGCTGCAGTTGGGTATTACATGTTTGGACACCAAATTTTGGATCAAAAGTGGAAATTGGCTTTCTTGCGCACACGATCAAGAAACGCCTCCGCTGTGAATTTAAGACCAGAAGTGTTCCAGCAGGAAGTGGAAGTGATGGAATCTTGATCAAGTAATTGATTCATGTGATTTTTTTTTCGGCTGTGGTTGGTCCTCCGATATTTATTCTTTACTGCAGTACAAGTATGTCTCAATTACAACTTTCCCATTAAAATTTACTGTATCTTATTAATCACACAAATGACCTGTTCCACACACATGGCTACCTTTATTTCAACTTCCTGGATAGAATGACGACGTCAAAAAAGATAAAATCAATTCGGAGATCTCGCGTTTCGAATCATGGATTGCGAACAGATCAGAAATCATTCACTGAGACCGTGGTTCCATTTGGACCAAAGGTGATGATTGATTGAACATTTCTGAAATTCTTCAAATTCACGAACATTGGACGGATCGTTTAAAAAAAAAAAACTTCCCGGAAAGAGACAGACATGGAACAAGCTCGACAGGTACTCAGAATATACCCTCCCATGTAAAGAAAAAAAAA